GTTCGCCGGCTTCGTGATAGAGTCAACTAAAACAAGAAGTTACTATCGCACGGCAAGTGCCGCGTTAAATCCTTGCGAAATTAGACAATATGGAATGATTAATTTAATCTTTTCGAGCCAGTTTCAACATGGCAATATTTTCTTATACTTGTAAATGGATTTTGCACATAGAGGTATAAAAAGAATGATAAATAGTCAGAATAAATAAACGGAAAAAAATATTGTGATTCTGCTACAAAACATGAGTTCAACTGGATTTGAACCCAAATGCTTATCGAGACAAGCTAAACGACATACCACTAAGCCATCAGTGGACGACTTGTAATACTGGTAAAATTAAAAACACAAGTACATTGTTGTGACCTGCTCATCTCATGAGGTGAATCTCATTTCGGGCAAAATGAAATAAAAATTGTTATAGACCGACAGAGAAAGGTTCAAAACGGATATTGATGCAGACAGTTTTGGCACAGGGGAATTTTAATGCGCATTTATAAATAAATAATGCTTAGCCGTGCTTAGCCGTATCTTAATATACTTTGTACTACGCTTAGCCGTTCGCCGGCTTCGTGGATCGACGTGGATCGTGTCAATTAAAACTAGAAGTTACCATCGCAAGGCAAGTGCTGCCTTTTAAACCAAATCAAATTTAGAAAATTTCGGGCCATTTTTCGGTTTAGACCGACTTAGAAATGTTCAAAACATTTATTGATGCAAAAAGTTTTGGTACAGGGCAATTTTAATGAGTATTTTGATATAAAAAGTGCTTAGCCGTCCTTAGCCGTGTTTTAATATACTTTCTACTAGCTTAGCCGTTCGCCGCCTTCGTGCATCGACTCAACTATAAACTAGAAGTTACTATCGCAAGGCAAGTGCTGCCTTTTAAAGCAAAGTCAAATTTGGACAATTTCGGGCCATTTTTCGGTTTAGATCGACTTAGAAATGTTCAAAACACTTATTGATGCAAAAAGTTTTGGTATAGTGCAATTTTAATGCGTATTTTGATATAAAAAATGCTTAGCCGTCCTTAGCCGTGTTTTAAAATATTTTCTACTACGCTTCCCCGTTCGCCGGCTTCGTGATAGAGTCAACTAAAACTAGAAGTTACTATCGAACGGCAAGTGCCGCGTCAAATCCTTGCAAAATTAGACAATATGGAATGATTAACTTAATCTTTTCGAGCCAGTTTCAACATGGCAATATTTTCTTATACTTGTAAACGGATTTTGCACATAGATGTATAAAAAGAATAAAAAATAGTCAGAATAAATAAAGGGAAAAAATATTGTGAGTCTGCTACAAAACATGAGTTCAACTGGATTTGAACTCTAATGCTTATCGAGACAGGCTAAACGACGTACCACTAAGCCATCAGTGGACAACTTGTAATTCTGGTAAAATTAAAAACACAATTACATTGTTGTGACCTGCTCATCTCATGAGGTCAATCTCATTTCGGCCAAAATGTAAAAAAAATTGTTATAGACCGACAGAGAAAGGTTCAAAACGGATATTGATGCAGAACGTTTTGGCACAGGGGAATTTTAATGCGCATTTATAAATAAATAATGCTTAGCCGTGTTTTAATATACTTTCTACTACGCTTAGCCGTTCGCCGGCTTCGTGGATCGACGTGGATCGTGTCAATTAAAACTAGAAGTTACCATCGCAAAGCAAGTGCTGCCTTTTAAACCAAAGTCAAATTTAGAAAATTTCGGGCCATTTTTCGGTTTAGATCGACTTAGAAATGTTCAAAACACATATTGATTCAAAAAGTTTTGGTACAAGGCAATTTTAATGCGAATTTTGATATAAAAAATGCTTAGCCGTCCTTAGCCGTGTTTTAATATACTTTCTACTAGCTTAGCCGTTCGCCGGCTTCGTGCATCGACTCAACTAAGAACTAGAAGTTACTATCGCAAGGCAAGTGCTGCCTTTTAAACTAAAGTCAAATTTAATAAATTTCGGGCCATTTTGCTGTTTAGATCGACTTAGGAATGTTCAAAACACTTATTGATGCAAAACGTTTTGGTACAGGGCAATTTTAATGCGTATTTTGATATAAAAAATGCTTAGCCGTCCTTAGCCGTGTTCTAATATACTTTCTACCACGCTTAGCCGTTCGCCGGCTTCGTGATAGAGTCAACTAAAACTAGGGGTTACTATCGCACGGCAAGTGCCGCGTTAAATCCTTGCGAAATTAGACAATATGGAATGATTAATTTAATCTTTTCGAGCCAGTTTCAACATGGCAATATTTTCTTATACTTGTAAATGGATTTTGCACATAGAGGTATAAAAAGAGGGGAATTTTAATGCGCATTTATAAATAAATAATGCTTAGTCGTGTTTTAATATACTTTCTACTACGCTTAGCCGTTCGCCGGCTTCGTGGATCGACGCGTGGATCGGTTTTCAAGTGTTTTCAAGCCTGCTCAAGTAGGCAAAGGGCAACTTATTCACACAATAATTAATAAAGACGGAAAGAAATAATAATAGAGAAAAATCACCTTCTGTTGTGGTGACCAGAGCGGACTTGTGTTGGCAGTGAGAACTGAGATAGATGTTCATGAAGTGACATCCCTGGATATTCTGTAGCAAACTGTTCTGCGATCTGAGACTAACTAGAACAAAACATTGGATTAATACTAGACACCGACTGTGCTGCAATAAAACATTGGATTAATACTAGACACAGACTGTAAATAAAACATTGGATTAATCATTTTCGCCGGGAAGCAAATTTATTCATTTTCATTTGTCAAAATATTAAATTTGGGGCGATTTTTAAACGTAAAAATTCACAAGTTAGGGTAAAATATTGGTAAATTCAACACCCTAGCTATCATTTTAGCTCTTCATAATTCACGGTACGCTTATTAATCACGATTCACGGAATGGTATTTCAGTTTAAATCACGAAACACGAATAATTGCTAATCACGAGTCACGAATATACCCTTGCCCCCCCCCCTTTAAACATTAGCCAATTGTCGGATTATAAACGTCCAGTCCGATGCACACCTCTACAAACTATAGTCTATAGCAAAAAAGGAAACAATAAACTGTTCGGTGTGAGTAATTTGCTCACTTTTTAACTATTTTCAAAATTATAATAAAAATGAATTTGATCGTAAAAATAGGAAATTGATTGGCTTCGTTCATTCACCCTTGTCCTGATTTACATAAACTTCAGTTTGATTTTCTTGGCTTAAACAATATTTATTTAATTTAAAATTACTTCGCCAATGAACTCATAAGATGGCTCGTTTTTTATGCAAGTTATAAACTAAGATGGGCAGCCGGCTCGAGGTAATAAGCTAAGGAAGCTGGTCAACCTCGGCTCACTGTCACTGCCCAAATCGGCCCATACCATCAACTACTAGTTGACATATTAGGAAAGCTATAAATATTTTACAAAAGATAGCACCAAACCCGGCAATACAGCCGTTTGCCGTTACATTGGGCGTACAGATGAGTAAAGTTTGAGAATATCCAGTTTGACTGAATTTAATTAAGAATCTATCGAAGTTTCAAATTCTCGATCTGTCCGTTTTGATATATTTCTCAGATAAAGAAACATATAAACATTTAATATATTTTAGATTTACATATAGGTTTCGTATTTATAGTAAGAGACATTTTGATGTTTTAATTTTAAAACAATGTGATTAAAATGATTTAGTTATTCTTAGCGGGTTATAAAAAAAACATTTACGAGGTCACATGTAGCGAGCACACCTGCCCAGCTGTCAGATGATTTTGAGCAATATAGTTGTAACGTTGTTCGTTCAAACATTCAATTTCACAGAGAACAAGATGAGCTTCAGAGTAACACTTGCGCAAGTTTTGTTGCTTACAGTAAAATTGCAAGCAGAGATAAAAACGTCAAAATACATCGCCAAATTCAAGGATGGTAAGTTGATAGAATTCTACTTAATTATAGTAATGATAAACGATTTTAAGAAGTAGAGAATTCTAACAAATTTTTTTGTTAATTGACAATTACAAAACTATGAACGTTCAGAGCAACATCACAAACATCATATTCAACCCGAGTACATAACACCAACACAGAAAAAAATTATGAACGTTAATATTGGAACACTGCACGGCTTCAGAAAAATGAACGCGAATTATTTTGGGGTCACTTGAATTGAATTACATTTTTTTGGCGGTGTATATATAGGCGAGTCTTTACCAATAAACGCAATTCTGTCTCAACACGAGGTGAACTCTCCAAGTGAATGTTCATTCCACTGCCTCGGAACAGCAGCCTGTCTTGGTTTTAACTACAAGACCACGACATCCCTTGAAGTGAACTGTCAACTCAGTAATAACACAGGCACAGATATATCAAATATGGTGGCCACAGAGGGAAAATGGACTTTTTATCAAGATTTGGCAATTGTAAGTTCATTTCTATATATTTTTTCAAATGTTAGCTTTGTTATACATTAAGTATAAATTATCAAAAGGTTATCTTAGTTCATATGTTGTTTTCGAATTATATCTGGTATGGACACAAAGCTTGTTATAATACGTGACAATAGTCACCATTTATTGAAATAATGATGTTAATTTTTCACAGTTTCATCATCTGAAGTGCGAAAGCAACATAGATCCCTGCAAAAGATCACATTCAGGTATGAAGATTTTCAATTTTCAATGAAATATCCATGGCTTTTGCTACCACTGTAGGTGCAAAAAACAAAAAACAAAACGAAAAGCCAAACCGTAATCGCTAAAGCAGTTGGTAAAATTGTATTTGAAGTAATATGCAAAGCATTCGCATCCAATGCTAATTTATTCTTCAACTCTCCTTTCATATTGTCCATATTACATCCAGTATTTCAGATATACAATCCTTTCCACGACGTTTGTACGTCAGTGAACAACGATGACGTCACAGCAACGGAATGCCAGCATGATGACGTCAAGCAATGGTGGGTCTGGACAAGATGTCATCAAATAAAACATCACAGCTCAGGAAAATGTTTGGATGTAAACGGAGAAATAATGTCGTGGACAAAACTGTATGTATCCACATGTGACAGCCATGTTTCAGGTCAACAATGGTCATGTCACAACAACTATATCCAAGTCAATGGCACTGATCTCAATATGAATTATGGGCATAGTCCACCGGATGTAATTTTGTCTGATTTAACCGGGGATTACAACAAGTGGAGAATGTTTAATTCAACCAACAATGTATGTTCTGCTAAACTTTAATAAACTAAAACATGGAAATGATTGGATAAAAATTCTTAAAAATAAAACTTGTACTGCGTATGTACTGTATATAATCATCGCAGTTTTTCTTGTGAATACGTCAGATACATCCGTCAAAAATATATCGTATTAAAAGGACCGTAAAGTTCCCTTTGATGAGATAATTCACGTCGTGAACGCAAACAAACATCACGCGTCACGTTACCTTGGACATCTGTCATGCTGTTTTGAAATGAGTTTGTATGTAGGACAAAAACACAAACGACTCCTACTGAGTTACTAGTTAGCTATGAATTTAATAATCAGTGCCAGTGCTAGGATTTTCTACAACGTTACAACGAAGAATATGCATGCGGTCCAAGGCTGACGTCAGGAATGGACGTATACTGTTGATTTCCAGATGTGTTAGATTGTCCAGCTAGAAAAATGGCAAAGCAATATCTTATCAAAGACAGTACTACACACAACTAGCTGTACGTCACTAGTTTAAATTAGAACTTATACTACTATTCAGTCATTTCAATCTAGATACGCCACTTTTGTTTTCTTATTCGGGAAAAACTCTGCTGTAAAATGCCCTTTAAAAGAAACACTCTACTCTGCAGCAAAATTTATCTAATAACATTTCCTGATAGAGAACAACTAAAAATTAGTTACACCCGTTTTCAAAATTACGCAACCAGGCCGAAAATACGGTTGGAGTTTTATGTCAGACGGTCAAGAAGTTTGAACTGTTTACAACTTTGAGTTCAACCTCGTTCCCAGAGGGAAGAGCCTGGGAACGAGGTTGCTTTGAGTTAATGCTATTCAATTGGATCTGGCCATTTGAATTGGTTATAACGTTATTGGCGTCCGAGGGTTGACTTTTAAAGCGTGAATTTATTTTGTAGCCACGAAATTAAACATGGCAACATTACCCGGGCGTGCGTCTCCTTTTCTTGCATCATAATATTGATACTTTTGCGAAGTTTTGCCATCCTGATTTCCCAGATATCTTTAATCAACGTCTGGACCTCATCTGCATGCGGGATGTCATCTCGTGCACTAAACAATTGATTTAAACAGCTCTTAAGAGTATAAAACAAGATATCTAATTTTTAAATGAATTGGCTTATTGCATTTTTAATCCACACCACCCCTACGGAGAACATCCATTTTCTGGACCCCCTCCCTTGCCCTTGGAATTCCGCAGATGTTGATGAATTTCCTGCCTACCCCCCGGAATTCTACTCATCCCTTGGAAATTCCACCGATGGTTTTTGACCTGTTTCTGGAATTTCCACATTTTTTGTTTAATTAATAGGTAACCATCCCTTGGAATTTCCATGTTGTTTTTTTAACCTACCCCGTGGAGTTCCCACAGATTTTCTTTAAAATTTAGATTTCGTTGAATTTTAGGAAGGAGGGTCTGGAAATTATCCTCCATAGGGGGGAGGGGGTTAGGAATGTAATTTAAGCCATTTCAGCCAACCTTTTAAGCAATAAAGATGCAAGCTCCAAATAACTCTTGGATGGCATTTCAGTGAAATACTCTCGTTCTTTCTCCTCATCTTTTCTTTCCTCTAATTGTCCTAAGAAGAAAAAACTTGTTTTACCAAGACACCTCACGCCCTATACAAAAATCCTTTTTCAACATTTCACCAGCCAGACAGAGTATGCGCGTTTGCAGCAGGTTTGGTAGTGGCCTTAGATTGACATTTCATTGACATGTTGCCAGTTAGCTCTCCAAGATCTTGGTCGAAGTAGGCAGGCTTAGCCTAGATAACTCTTTTAATCAGTTAAATGAGTTTTAAAAAAATATAAAAAGTACCAATGTTCATCCAGTCTGGAGGAATTATTCTGCACTTTTTTCTCTGCTTCAAGTTAACGGCCATCCACAATGGAACCTCGGCTGTAAGACCTGGCTCAAATGGGCCAAGATCACCCTAACATAAAAATAATGATTGCCTGAGATCTTATATAATGATTGCCTGAGATCTTATAATGATTGCCTGAGATCTTTCTTAATGATTGCCTAAGATCATCAGTTTGTAGGAACCAAAACAACTCTGAGGGTGATACCTCTGTTAAAAGGGTTATACAATAGTTCCATACATTCAAGGTGTCACAGAACCAATCAAGAGAATCTTAAGTAATTGTAATATTAAGGTTGCCTTAAAACCCTATTTGACTTTAGGCCATATTTTCGCAAAGCCAAAAGATCCTGTTAAAACAAATCAGAAAACTCATGCTGTATATTCTATACCATGCGGTGACTGCGAGAAAGAGTATTTAGGTCATGCAGTCTAAACGCCAGTTTGGTACACGGCTAAAAGAACATCAAAAGGCTGTTTCAACTTTAGACAAGGGAAAATCAGCTTTAGCCGAACATGTATGTTACACCAAACACGAGATTGTGTGGGAAAATTCTAAAGTAATTACCACAAACAATCGCTATGGTCAAAGACTTTGCCTAGAAGCGTGGCATATAAATATGAGTCATCATGCTTTGAATAGGGATGACGGTGCCTATTTGCCAGAGGAATATATGCATCTCATTGGCAGGTGACGTCATCCCTTGGGTATTTAAGAAGCCATGATCGCAGTTTTAGATCACCCCTGATGAAGACACTAGACTGGAGTGTCGAAACGTTGGGTCTTGATTACAATTCGACTGGGCTTTGTATTAAACCAGAGTAGCGAGCGAAACATGATTGATATACCTGGTTGCAGTGAATGAACAAACTTTAAATCCATTTATGTTTCCACCCAACAATCCTCCACTATGGACGAACACTCTTCCCCCATATTTCAATGTCCCAGAACTTTTAAGAGGGTCTAGATGGGGGCGGGGGGGGTCTGAGAATCAGTAAACAGTAAAAATTTAGGTATTTTAACAGTAACAATAAGTAACATTTTGGTATTTTAACAGTAAATCTTTGAAAAGTGTTCTGAAACATTAAACAGCATTTTTCCTCACAATTCACGCTAAATTTTTAGTGTTTTCACGACTGACAGTAACCAAAATTGAGTGAATCACTACTCCATCAACATCCTCTTTTTTAGGGGTGCACCGGATTTGGAATTTTCAAATCCGGCCGGAACCGGATTTACCGGATTTGGACAAAAATTCCGGCCGGAATTCCGGCCGGATTTGAGATAAACTGGTAATGGGGACAATTTGGGATAAATCAGTATTCAAAATGACGGTTTATGTTTTTTACTATTTTTAGTTAGTGTCAGTTTAGATTTTTGATTGTGTTTAAACCTTTTATAAACATTTTTTGTTAATAACTTAATATTTTATAATAATAAAAGTGTTTTTTAAACTTTAAAGCTGCCAAATTGATGGTTTATCCCATTCTTGGTGAATTTTTAAAGGTGAAAACAGAAATTTAAATCCGGCCGGATTTTCTCCAAATCCGGCCGGAAGCCGGATGCCGGAAAATTCGTTAAATCCGGCCGGAATTCCGGCCGGATTTGAAATCCGGTGCACCCCTACTCTTTTTAAAAAAATGTCAGCAGTTTGTCCCTTCTAAACCACCCAAATTCCCTCTGTGTGAGATATGGTTGTTTACTATAATATTTGTTTATTATGCTAGACTAATAAATGTTTTCTAGTCATTCAAACAATTGATACCTACACTGATAAGAAATATCCTGCCTTCTTTAAAATTGGGTAGAATCTTGACATGTTGTTTTTCACTCAAGAAATCAACTTCTGAGGGATCCATCTTTGCTTACTGCGTTTGTTGAAATGATGCCAGGTGTACAATTTCCCCTTGACAAGAATACATGGCATGAAATATGACACAGCAGATCAGCACAATATCTAGGCCCATTTATAATATGCTCATTATATAATAGGCCCATTTACGCTTCTGCTGTGATTTCTACACGGCTAAGAATGATCAGGTTGTTGCAATAGTTGATGACAACAGGATTGAACAATGTTTTGCTGCCCACATTGCTACATGCAATTCAGGCTCAACCAGCAACATTGTTCAATGCTGTTGAACATCAGGCTCATGTAGTGTGATTTTCTTCTTCTCATACATGTGAACAAATGCTATTAATTTTGTAAGTGCAGTACGCCAGAGACCTTTGCCGCGAGTTTGGCAAACTACACAGTACTATCTATTGGCGTATCTGCATGTAGAGTTTACATGGAATGCACCCTAGCTCTCAACATTCATAATTCATCCGCTCGTTTACTTTCATCAGAAGAAGAAAATTGCACCAGAAATCGCAGTGAAAATTGTGTAAACAGGCCTTTAGACGACTGTTTATGAGACAAAACACAAGATTTTGCCATATTAACGGTATCAAGATTTTCGTGTCTGAGGCCCACCAAGAGTGTAATCCTGGTCGCTTGTCACTCATTTTGTAGCTGCTTTGTCGCTTGTTTTATTGTAATAAATGTCGCTGTTACTTTTAACCCATAACACAAATCACGATTTGTCGCTCGTCCCCAGTCAGAAGCTGTCATTTGTCGCTCTTTTTTAGATAGTCTGTCACCTCTTTTTAAGGAATGTCACCTGTCGGTCATAACCCCTTGGTGGGCCTCTTGTCTTGCCAAGATCATGAAATATTGTAGGAAAATGCTAAATACAGTTTTTCTCAAATCTTGCCTTTGCCCCAAGAACGTCACAATGATTGTAGAATTATATATTACTTTCCCAGCGTTTCCACTCGATACTATCGATCATCGATAAAGTCGGCATCAATTGATCCATATGATTTACTGTTTTTCATTGATTGGCATTCCGACTTTCCGATCATTGATTTTTTATCGATTGTAAATGCTGGGTACAATTATATAAATTTGCATTTTTACATACAAAGTTACAAACATCACGAGAAATACCTGAACCATTCATAAAAATCTTTCATGGATTCCAAAAATATCCAGCGTGAAATACTGATTTAATTTTAAAAAATTGCGAATATGCAGGAAAGACAGCAAATGTCAAATACCTATATCTATGCTCAAATGTAAACAAACGATGGTTTCCCGCCAAATGGAGCGTTTTAGAAGTGCGGTAAAATATCGCGCTAAAATAATCCAGAAGATGTTGTCGACATGATCGAGTTTCAATATGGCGGCGGACTGAGTGTTTGTTTCATATGATTTATTTACGACTAGCAAGGCTAGTCAAGGCTGTATTTTGTGTAAGAAATGGGGGCACAAGAATCTTCAAGACGTGTTACTGTAGATAATTCAGGGGATGACACGATCGGAGTCGTCAAGGTATTTTAATATATTTGGTAGTGTACTAGTACTAGTATTCTGACTGTGTACAATTGATTAAAGGGGAAGTCAAGTCCGTTCTGCGCATCGGTTCTGCGCATAACAATAGAGGGCCCTCTGAGGTAAACATTGCCCAAATTTTGAATGTTTCGAATTTTTCTGAACACAAACTCTATTTCATATTCATGTA